AAAACAAAATAACACCAAGCCTGTGCTCACCTCTAAGATTTACTTTCAAGGATTTGTTCCAAAAAGCCAGCCCACAGGAGTGACCCACAGAAGGAGACTTCCCTACAGGCAGAAGAACGTGACTGTGGAGTAGTAGGAGGTTTTAACACATCCTGCCTTACACATTCCTGTCTTCAAGTTGCATAAAATGTTGATAAATTTAAAGTTTGGGATTTGAAATTTTCCCCATCCAGTCAGACATCATTTTGCTTACTTTTTTTTTTTTTTTAAAGAGATTGGGAAACAAGTGGTTCTTTGGCTCCTATTTTCATAACCAATGAAAACTCCTCCCTCCCCCAGTCCATTTTTGCATAATTAATACCTTCTTGATTTGGAAGACGTGATTTTAGGCACAAAGAGGCTCTGGCATCAGAAAGGTGCCTTCTTACCTTGCCTGTGAGAACAGGTTGTATTTTAAAGCTGTTGGCAAGAAAAGCTCCCTAGGTTGGGAACACCACCCAACATCACCTCAGAACAGCTTTGCTTAATTTTCAACACTCCTAAATGATGGCTGTGATTATTTTGGAAGAGTAACCCAGTTGCCATCATGAGAAATGGAAACCAGCATCCCTTTTGAGAGGCACCAGAGACTGCTGGGATCCTCTGCAGCAGAACATTTACATCGAGTCCTCCCTGCTCAGAATGTTCTCATGCATTAACAGAAAAAAACACCATCAATTCTACACAAATTCCTTTGCTGAAGCCAGCAGAAAAACGTCTGAGGAATTAAGGCAGATGAGAGCCTTCCCTGGCTTGGGCTTATCCCAACACCACACACACTAAGGAGAGAAACAGAGCTAAGGAAAGATGAAATACTTCCTTGCCATCATCTCCTGTTGCTGTCCAAGCAACAAGCCCCAGCACTCGAGAGCATCCCTGGGTATTCTTTGCACTCAGGAAGCTGCTGTGGGAGCACAAAGCTGCCCTGAGCTGGGCTGTTTCACAGCCTCTGGTGTTCTGTGTGTGCCATGAGGACACCGGGCATGTGACTTGCGTGTTAAAACATTCTGGCTCGCCCCTTGAAGTTCAGATTCTTTCCCTGCAAAACACACACTGCATGATCTCATCTGCAAGCAATCAGCCTGAGAAATCAGCTTGTTAAAGGAAGCTTCTAGGAAAGGAGAGATGTCTCTGGAGAATTTGGGGGCCTATATAATTTTAAGCAGTTTGTTAAACCCCAGCTGCTCTTCTCCCCATTGGGGTCACACAACCAAGAAACCATTTCTCCTCCCACACAACTCCAGACAGGACAGTTTGCCAACACCTAACTGGAGCATCCTATTTGCATTCTCCAAAGCCTGAAATCACTCCCATTTCCAAGCAGAACTCATCCTAAGCAGGCACTGGAACAGTACAAGGACAAACTCAGAGCTGCAAGTTGAGCAGCATCCAGCAAAGCAATCCATTACACATGGAACACCACACTGAATGTGTAAAACAGAATATTCTCTTAATTTCTGGAGGTGTATTTCAGCATTTCCCCACAATTATCACTTGGACCCTGGACACGAACCTGAAGACAGGAACAACCAGTACAGCAGGAGCTCTGCAGAGGAGGAAGGGAACAAGCAATAACCTCCCAACTTTGCCCTGAGATTGCTTAAAGTGATGTAACAGAATTTCACCCGAGTTTCTGGGGATGCTGCAGCGCTACAACATCCCCGGGAGGCAACACCTTTCACTTCCCAGTGAAAACCTTGGCACTGCAGAGTGTGGGACAAAGTGCAGCCTCTGATCCCAGAGCAGGCTCCCAGCTGGGCTGTGCAGGGCCAGCTGCACCTCACTCCTGCAGCAGGAGCACCGTGGAGAGCAGAACAGGCTCTTGTGCTCACACACTCAGGCACATTTGCATCCCCCGAGCTCCCAGCAGCAGGACCACCGCTCTTGCACTCAGCAGGGAGGCTGGGAAGATCAGAGCAGCATCCTGCCTTCCTTCACTTCCTTCCAGGCTGTCACACCCTGCCTGAGCTGCTCTCGGCAGCATCTCCCAGGCAACCCCTTCCCAGCTGCCCCTAGTTGGTCATTCAAGTGCTTTGAAAGACTTTTCTTAAAATTCTTGCATAGAAATCACTGTTTAATGTTCAACACAGAACAGGGGAGGGAGGGGGGGAAAAAAGCTAGCCTGTCTCTAACAAAGGAGATCAGGAGGACTGAGCCCTTGGCTCTTCCCAGACATGGATTATATTCCAAGTGAAGTGATTAATCACCACTTCCAGCACCTATTTCAGTTTAACTTGAAAAAGTAACTGTTCTGAAACAAACAGAAGGAAGCAAAGATCAGGCAACCCACATTTATTACTGTGAGAGCAGAGGATCAAGTTAACCACACTGGGTTCTCCTTCAATTTACATCTTTCCAAAAGCCACTTATTGCTTTTGATAAATATTACCTACACTTCAACCCATAGTTGTTGAAGCCACTGTGTGAATCAGGGTGATTTGCCCCTGGACAATGCAGGATGACAGTCATGCTGCAACTCTTTTGGTCAATGGTGGCACCTTCTAGCTCCAAATGACACTCTGAACCTCAAAGCAATTTGAAATAACTGCAATAATTAAAAAGCTTTTTGCTTTCTGTGTCTTTAAGAAAAGGAAACACATAGCTCTGAATGCAAACCTTCAAAATGTTATGAGAAAAGTCTCCTTCAAGCTTTTTACTCCTTAGCCAAGTTCCTAATTTTACCAGATTAAGAGCAGACAACCCCCCCAACCATCTGTCTGCTACTAAAATCAAGGTACAGGACAACCACCTCCAAATCCCTGGGAAACCACAGCTCAGAAAACTCAAAGTATAAAAGGAGGGGGGCAATATTGAAGGGATCAGCTGCTGCCTCCCCTGGTGCAGCTTCCCAACCAAATCATGAAGGGAAGAAGAAAAAGGAGACTTTCCAGCTCAAGTTCCAACTCCTTTTTAAAAATCAGTTTATAACCACTAAAATAAACACAGTAAGAACAACTGTGCAGTAACTGGGAACCTGCAAAAACAGCTGCAGTTTAAGAGCAGCTCAGGCCAATATCTGGCAAACACCAGCAGATCCAACGGCCCAAGGGGATGGCAGGACATTTGGGGAAGGAAACAGTGAATTTCACCCACAGGCTCATCCAGAAACTGCCTAAAGTACATCCAGCCAGGGCACGCCGGGCAGAAGCAGTTATTCTGTCTGTGCTGTTCACTGCTGAGGTGAGCATTTGCTCCCTATCTCCAAATTCCAATCTCCTCCTGGATGCCCCTGCACTGCCTGAGCCCAGCCCAGAGCTTCCCAGTGCTCCTGACACCTGGGTGGGCACACTGCTCTCTGCACTGCTCTCCTGATCCCCCAAAACCTCCTCACAGGACACTGCTGGTCCCTCCAGGGCACTGCAGCCAAACCCCTCAGGAAACAGCCACTTCCAAGGGAAGGAAGGTCAAGAAACCTGGAACAAGCAGATTACTCCAAAACACCAGGACCTGAATATTTCAGCTGTTCTGAAACAGCAACCACAGCAGATGGTGCAGAACAGCAGCAGCATCTCTGAAGAAAAGCCACCCAAAGCCCTCCTGCCATCTCACCTTTGGGCTCCAGCCAACAAAACTCTTCAGGATTTGGACATTCTGACTTTCTTTAGAACTCCAAGATCCAATTCTCCGCTCAGTGTTATCCAAGGATCTACCCCAAGCCACATGCTTTGAACACCCTCCTTCGCTGCAAAGCTGACAGTTCTCAATTACACCCAGTTCCAGTTGTTCTTGGCTCTGTCCCTCACCACAGACCTGTGCTCTCCACGGCTGGGCTTGTCACTGTGCACAAAAACCAAACTCAGGGAAGAGGCGACAAATAAGAGCCTTCCTGGACAGTAAATGGAATGAGAAAGATGAAAGCTCCTGGGAAAGGCAAGGAGCCAGCTCCAGGGGAGGAGGAAGAAGTCACCTGGGCCATTCCCAGGGGAGGAAAAGGACAGGGAACCTGAAGGAAGCGTGGACCACTCTTGGAAGTTTTAAAGTTTTTAAGTTAAGTGGGACAAGCTTTTAAACTAAAAGAGGGGGACTTAGATTAGATATAAGGAAGCAGTTTCTTGAAATGAAGGTGCTGAGGCACAGGTTGCCCAGAGAAGCTGTGGGTGCCCCATCCCTGGAAGTGTCCAAGGCCAGGCTGGACAGGGCTCTGAACAACCTGCTCTAGTTGAAGATGTCCCTGCTTGCTGCAGGGGTGTTGGACTAGAAGAGCTTTAGAGGTCCCTTCCAACCCGTGCTATTCAGTGATTCCAAGCTGCTGCACAGTTCAGACTGCAGGCTATGACCATCAGCAGGACAGAGATCATTTGCTCACAGAAATGCTCCCACCCCCAACACGTGCCCAGGGGACAAGCACACACCTGGGTAATAGATTTAAGGCTTCTTAAAGAACATTTACTTTCCTCAATTATACACCAGAGGCCACAACCCACAGGCTGAGCAAGCCACGAGCGGCACAGCAGCTAATTCAGAGAGAGCTCCTGATTTCCACAGCCCACATTACCCAGCCATCAGACTGAACGGACATCGGAGCCTTTCTAATTTTATAGTCCACAGAGACGAGGCAGGAACGGCTGATGGAAGAGCAGCAAGGCCTCTCTGCCCACACACACCACTGCTGCTGGCTCCACAACTGCAGAAATGCTGCTACTTTTTTTTTTTTTAAAAAGAACTTTTTTTTTTTTATAATGGAGTCAGCTGAAGAGAAAATGAGGAGCTTGGCATTTTAAACCAAAGCGTTTCAAAACGCTGGTTTATCTTTCAGCTTCAAAAGAAGAGAAATAAAGTGAAACAAAATCTCAGTCACTCCCTCATAACAGTTTTCCCTTTCTGTCTCCAACAAAGCAAAGCGCCCTGAGCTCCACTTGATCACTTTTTCTTTTCTTTCCTCTTTCGTTAACGTGATGCCGCTAGAGAAGCTGACACAAAATAGCCTCATGTTCTCGTATTTTATCTTTTCCCAATCCTACCTCTCCATTAAAGCACACTTGGAAGGCAGAGCAAGCCAAAGGAACAGCCAGCCAGCACATCCAGCACGGAGAGGACGGGAACCACACCACTGAACAAGCAACGGCATCAACCAGAAAAGGCTTCAGCAAAAGTTTAAAAGCAAAGTTTTCCCATAGAGGTCTGCTAAGTGAAAAAAAAAAACTCACAAAGGGAATTTCTTTCTTTCATAAAGGGAAAAAAAAAAGACAAACAGGCAAACGAGCCATGAGCCAGCCCGGGTGTCCGGCTCGGAGGAAGAGGAAGAACCGGGTCTGGGGACCCGAGCAGAACAAACCACAGCAGGGGTTCACTCCCGGC